TAACATCCAATTCAAGTTTTGACCACATCTAGTCTATTTACCAAGTAATTCATGACTTTCTCTATAATGACATATATGTCCTGAATTCTCTTCATACATATATTTATGTACTATATGACCTGCTTGGCATTAACTGTATCCCTGTGTATCTCATTATCTCAATTTCATGATCAATGGATCATTACTTGACATAACTGATCACGATTTCTATGGACATCACTTGATCTGCTGAACTCTTGCTTGGTTTTCTTATTTAACGTAACTTGGTAATGAAGGTTGTTATACAGATCATGGGAGAGCCCTCTAGGGCCAAGGATGCGATGCTGAGTGGCAGAGCTAACTTAGTGGATTTGATAGTCCCCTTTTTGGGACTATGTTATATTTATTTGGGGTTCATAATGTATTATCCCTTTTTCACATATAGACTGTCTATTTTGAAATATTATTCTGACATGATGTATATACATTCAATATTCAGGCATGAATATATATATATATATATATATATATATATATATATATATATATATATTCAGAGAGAAATATGTGTCTGTAATATGCATATGTTTGAGTATGTAGTGGCATAGAGCCAATTAAGCATATGTTCGTAGATGGGTTTTAGGTTCTTGTTGGACTATGTATATTTGTATAAGTTATGTTGGACTGCTTGGATATCAAGATTTTATTAAAGTGAAGGATTAAATCGCGGGATTGTCTAATTTACAGCCATTAAGTTGTCTGATTTGCCTTTGTTAGGGTTGATAACAGTTTTCATACTTTGATAGTCATTAAGTATTACTGATGGTTTCTGTAAGGACAAGCTAGTGGAAAAAATTATATATCTTTATAGGACGATACAGTCTTAGTAATTATAGAAAAAGTTATATGTTGTGAATTGAATAAAGGAAAATAGAAAAGGAAAAAGTTAGCTCACTAAGTTATGTAAGGTATTGCGAAGTTGTAATTAAGTCTTTTGCTTCTGTATTTTAATTTTACTATGTTTAATACCATATGCATGTTAACTAACCGGCTCGAGACGAGGATGTTACACCCTCCACGCCCTCCATGTTCATTTTTCTTCAAATTCTTATCTCCTTGATTACTCCTTAAAACACTAAGCTCACTTGACAAAAGTTATACCTTAGGACCTCACCAGTAAAGCCCTAGTATTTATTCACCTTGGGAGATCATATTTTGTGAGATTCTCCTCCTCGAAAGTGGTGGTTACTATTCACTCAAGAGGGAAAAGTGATGGTTTTCATGATTCAAAGCTTGGAGATTAACCTTTGTGTATTATGGAACTTGTTAGAGGTAATAAATGCCATTTTAATCAATTGAATCTTTGAGTTTAAGCTTAGGGTTTCATGAACATATTGGAGGGAAATTTGAAATTTGAAAATGCTTGAATGGTGGGGTGTTTGATGTTGGGTTATCTTTTTTTTTATGGTTTAGTGTTGAAAATAGCAAGTGGTTGCATTGACGGTTGAAAACTTGGTTGATTCTTCAAGTGTGCATTGTGACCAAGAGAAGGAAATGATGCTTGGAGTCATGCTTGATGTGGTGTGAGGATTGAAAGACAAATACAATATTATTCCTAGTGTTACCAAGGTAAGAAACACCAACTTAGTTCTAAACTTTGCTAGGATTCCTCTATGTATGATTTTCAGCCATTTCATGTAAATATGTGTAGAAATTCTTCTTGAGTTAGTTTGAATGATTGTGAACATGTCCTAGGTATTATTATGCTAAATGGATTGATTGGTTAGTTGAGAAATTTATAAAAAAATATGATGAATGGCCTATAACACCACTTAGGCCATATAAGTGGATAATGAGTGTAAAGGGTCTGATAACTCTATTTCGTTAATGATTAATGTATGTTTGTTGATAGAATATACAAAGATGTGTTTATGGACATTGGAAAGCATGAAAAATTCATTAAGCCTCTTTACATTGTAGGTTTCGACCATTGAAGGGGAAAATGATGTGTAAGTGTGTTTAAGTGTTATTTGAATGATGTTTATGACAGGGGCTAGGTTGAAGTAATTAGACTAGTTAATAAGTCATTTGAAGCTTGGCATATGTATGTTGCCCTATAGTGCTTGGTTCGACCTTGTTAGGGTAAATATATTTGAAAACTTATAGAATGATAATGGATAACTAAAAGGTATTCCTATGTCATCCCAAGTGTATGTAAATATGAAGAACCAAGTTATTGGCTTGTTTTGGGAAGAAATGACATTATGTGGTCCTCTTTGATAATTAGAAAATAATTAGTTATAACTTGTATTTTGACATATATTGGCATGAAAATATGTTAAATGAAGTTATAACATGAATGAAATGGTATTAAACCAATTTGAATGTCATATATGAAAAATTAAGGAATCATTAAAGTGTTGAAGCTTTGTATGTAACACTTGAAATATGACTTATATGGTGTTGATTGGTGTTGTTCCTAATCTAGGTTTGACCCTATAGATATTGAATTGGAAGATCAAGTCTTGGAATGAGGTGACTAGCTTTCTTGCATTACAAGTAAGCATTTTGTGAAAGATTCAAGAGGTAAGCTTCAGGTTTAGGAGTTTTCTCCTCTTTGCTTGTTCCACCATGATCCATTGGGATTATGGTTCTGATATGTTCTGCTTGATGAATGTTAGAACTTAGTATAGTTGCATTCATATTGAAATTTACCTTTGAAATCTATATAATATGATATGTTATGTATGATTTCTGGTTCTTGGCCAATGAATGTATTCTGTTATCTTTCATGCGAACTTTGTTCTTGAAGGCTCTGTTACTTCCGTGAGGACTTCGGTTCTCAGAAGTCTCTACTACCTTCTGTGGGGCTTCGATCCTTGGAATACTCTATTTTTCCTCCGTGAGGACAAATGTTCTCGGAAGACTCTATAAGGACTATCCGAGGGAGAATTCAAGCTCCCGTTGTCATCTAGTAGTTATTACTGTATGCTTTGTTTCTGACGTTTAATGCAAAAAAGTGGACTCATAGGTGGATATTACTCCATAAACTATGAGTTTACTGAGATAGTTAATCTCTTCCTGTTTGGGGATATGTTTCAAGTGTGCCAGTAGTAGGAGAGCCCTCCCAGGGCAAGAAGCATGTCCAGGGCTAGAGGATCTAGCTGATTAGAGATGTAGTACTCTCTTTTTGGGATTGTACATATATTCTTTTTGATCATGATGTATGACCACCCACTGTTGTATATGGCATGTATTATTTTGAGATATTTGTTCATGCATGGTGTATGTATAGTTTAGCAATTCGGGCATATATGTATATATTTATTCAATGAGATGCATATGTTAATAGTATATAATTATATATATTGTCAAGTAGATAAGATGTGCAGTGGCACGAAGTCAATAGTTGATTGAATCGATGGATGGGTTCTAGGTCCATTGAATGGGCTATCAGTTATATTCATATGTCTTGGACTTTTTTGATTGACAAGGACTGAGTATAAGAGTGAGATTTAATCCACAGGTTGTGCAGTTTACAGCAAAAATGTTATCCATGTGACTCTGTCGAGGTTGGTATGGGTTATTATACCTTGACGATCTTTGACTATTGCTTATTATGGTCACATGATTAATAAGTCTACTATGCAGGCATGGGACTATACAGTCAGTAATATTATGGAAAAGTTATTTGCAATGCGATACATCAAGAAAAAGAAAAGGAAAAAGCTAATTCACAAAGTTGCATAGATAAGTCTTTTGCTTAGGCATATAAGCTGTGCTTTAGTACCACATGCATGTTAAGTAACTCGCTCGAGACGGGGATGTTAAAAAAATCCAACCCAAGCCACAACTAGCATGGGAAAGGTTCGACTAGCTATACCAACACTTATTGACAATAAAATATGGTTTCTAGACCTAGAGGAAAACCGTGTCTAAGTAGAAATGTCAACTTTCTAGTCTTCAATTTCTTCAATAAAGAAGCATATAAGCGGCAATTAATTGCTCTTCAAAACCATTATATATCTACTTTTGATTAAATTATTGTGTATTTAATCTAAACCACCCTAGAAGCATTTACAGTGGACCATTATGGTGCCAAAGAAATTATGATAACCTTGCTGAAAAGATGCTGATAGCAACTCTAAAAGTCAGTAGATCAGATATAAAATATTAACATGATCATTGAGATCCGAAAATTTAAAGAAACAATCTTCATTTACAGATAACATCAAGTTCCACGAAGAAGGTAAGAGAAATTAACTTTAGAGTTTATTCAATACTTTGTACAAATTTTTAAAAAAATATATAAACAATAAAAGGAAAATTTTAAATAATTGATAATTATGCCCAAGGAAATAAAACCATAAAAAAAATAGAGCACTATTCAGACACCCTCTCCCATGGTAAACTGAATACAAAGCCATATTTTTTTTTACCTCACACCAAGAAAAAAAAATCATTGGGAATTTTCATTTGCAAAGAAAAACTAAAACTGTGATCTTAAGAAATTAAGGGTCTGTTTGAATTCTATTTTAAACAATTTTTTGATTTTCAGAATAAAAGAATATATTTGATAAAGACTGGTTTGTAAAAATAGTTCTAAAATTTATAACTGTTTTTAGATTTTAAAATTAAATTTAGAAAACATGTATAAGTTGATTTTATTTTATGTTTTGACTTTTAACTTTTAAAACAAAAAAAATAAAAAAAAACATATGTTTCCATAACTAATCTACAAAATAGTTTAAAAAAAAAAATCAAAACATAATCAAACATTATCCTAAATCTTAAAATTTCAAACCAATCCCAAATAATCACATAGAGCAAAAGTATCTTTTTGCAAGCAATTAATCAACTTGTCAACTTCCTACACCAAAACTCATAAATATGTCAGGGGCCCCACAGCCACGTTTTAGTGGGGAGCATGCACATCACGTGATATTCTAGTTAGCATGAAGGAAAATAGAAATAATTCACATCCTCTTCCTAACTGAGGAGCTGGTTGGTTCTTGTCCTTATTACATTCGAAGGGCTGAAATGTTGTTAGCTGCTGATGCAGAAAAGGGTGGCAATGATGGTTGTGGCTGTGATGGTGATGGAGAATGAATAGAATTGCCATTATTATTGACCATGTTTCCCATCTTCTGTTGGTTTTGCTGATGATAGATTTGCCTCAGTCTATCTATTTCCTTCTTTAATGCTTCTTGGCGAGCTGAGAGATGGAGAAAAAAAATATAGATCATAATCTCAAGAATCATGGTGATTTTAGAAGTTTCAAATGTGACTAAATAAGCCACAAAATATAAAAGAAAACATCATATATATATATATATATATATATATATATATATATATATATATATATATTCAATCAGAAAAATATTTCTGCAGATAAGTTATCTGCATTTAATCCCAAAACGACGTAGTTTTGGGATTAAAATATTAAAAAATTATAATTATAAAGACTATAATAATCCTGAAAAAAATTAAAATTATAAAAAAAATCATTATTTTCTTCTCAAAACGACGTCGTATTGAATTTACTACAGATAACTTATCTGCAATAACTGCAAAAAAATGAACCCATATTCAATTTACTTGTTTCAAAATGTGTTTCTTATTTTCAATGAGTATTTTCTTCTTAATGATTTCATAACTAGATATCAACATTATGTATGGAACTTATAAAGGATTTTGAAATAAGTAACTCTATGAACTTAAATTATATATATGTATGTAATTGAAGTTCATGGAATTATTTCTTTCGAATTCTTTATTACACACGCGCACGCATGCACACAAGTACAATCTTATGAAAATTGAACCGGACTGGTCGGTATGTTTGGTTCACCTAGAAATCGGACCTTCAATTAACCTGATTCATATACAGAATCGATTTTATATTTGAACCGTTCTTGAATTGAGTTCAACCGATATTGGTTTTTTAACTAAACCGGTTTTATCTTATTTTTGGGTAAAATATTTAAAAATCAAACCTCCAATCAACCCAATTCAGATTGAGGATCGGTTTTGTATTTGAACCTTCCTAGATTGAGTTCAACCGATATTGGTTTTTTAACTAAACCAGTTTTATCGTATTTTTGTGTAAAATATTTAGATTGCTCGGATCGGGTGCTTTGATACTTAAAAGACTCGCCACTACCCCCAACTTTATTTGATTATAATGCTTCTAATTTTGTATCTATTATATATGTTGTACTAATTTAATTCAGTTAGTGGACTGGTTGAACCAGTAACTCATTGATCAAGTATTATAACTTATTTGAGTTTATTAAATATTATATAAGCAAATGACAAGATCTTAAGTACAAATTATCTATAGATGATAAGAGGCAAGGAAACTAATTAAAGAAAATTGTGTGCAAGTTAACAAGAAAAGAAGTGATTACCATCTTTGAAAAGCTTGTCTTGGGCTAAGGCAGCTATCCGTTGCTTCAAGGTACTATTGTCCACATTAAGAATCAAACGTTGGTGGTCCAAGAATGCTACACGTGGCGACAATGCTGATACCTCCGACTACATTTTCACAATTATCAATACAAAATTACTACTACTTCCGCTTCAAACATATTTGCTAAAAATTAAACTTATTTTTTTTTTTTTTGTATGAAAAAAAATTAAACTTATTAACCTGCAAACTTGTGACGCTCCTTTCAAGCTCAGAAATGTATTGTAGCTTTCTCACCCTCGACCTCTGAGCTGATTGCCGGTTAGCCAAAACTCTGATTTCCATCATAACATTCAATAAATAGGGGGGATTTTTTTTTTGCTTCAAGTACAATATTGAAAAGTTTTACTTCTCTTCTCAATAGTTGATTTTTGTCAATTTAAAGATTATAATTTATTTATATAATAATTAATAAATTAATATAATTCAATAAATTATAAATATTAAATAAGTCTTGGAGTCAAAAAAAATCCAAATTATATATGTGTCGTAATCGTTTGAAACAGGTGTTAAATTAAAAAATTTGAAATTAAATATTAACTGTTGATTTTTATTAATCTAATACTTATAATTTTTTGAAAATTAATAATTAATCAATAATTGTGATCCTATAATTACAACGATTAGATTGATGTGAATCAATTTAGTTTTAAATTTTTTAGTTTAACATGATTACCTTTTGACTCTTTTGGGATCTAGGATAGTTTCGGTGCTTGTTGGGGTAGGGGAAGGTGGCGTCGCCGAGTCACTTTGGCATGAGCTTTCCATCTCGCAGGCCTCATTTTTAGGCTGATTAATAAGGTATTGCATGGAAACGACGACGTCCAATGCCATAGGCTTCTCATTGTTGTTGCTATTCTGCTCTGATGGCGACGACGGCGTTTGAGGCAAGGCAATGTCGTCGCAGAACATGGACATGAGCTGGTCATCCTCTAACCCGTGGAATGCATGGGCAGTGGTCCTCGCCGTCGCAGCACCGTCATCGGAGAATCGGCATTCCTCGAGGAAGGCAACCGAGTCGCTCGCCGATCTCCGGTGACAACCCCGTCGTGACGACGAGAAGTCGAGGAACTCGTCAACCCATGATGGCAATTGTTGTTTGTCACTAGTGGTGGTGGAGGTGAAATTTGATGGTGGTGGTATTTTTGGAGGTAACTGTGCCATTACGTACCCTACCTACTGCTATGGTTATGGTTATGTCACCACAAATATCGAGAGACCAAAAATTTTGTCTACTATGTGAATAGGCTAATATCTGTGTTTTTGTGTGAGGAAATATTGGAGAGAGAGAACAAAGATCCCAACTACAACCTAACCAAGTAACTAACACAAACGACCACCAATCTCAGATCAAAATCTTCTCCTCGGGCTTATAAAAGGAGAAGGGGGAGAATATAGGAGAGATATTAGGGAGGAGAGAGATATTGAGGTCTTATGATATGATACAACGTATTTGTAGTTTTTTTATAGTTTTTTTTTTTCCCTTAAACTTGTTACATGAATTATGTTTATTTTTCTAAGGTTGAGAGAGAGAGAGAGAGAGAGGTGGGTCACATGGGAGGGGAATAGAGACAGCTAGCAACAGCTAGTATGTGAAAGACTCGACGAATTTAGTGGGGAGGATTAGGAGTGTAGTTTAATAACTAGAGGAATCATCAACCACGTGCAGCTGTGACCCTATCCCTTATCATCCATTATATGAAACAATAATTGCATATGTAATATAAAATTTAGGCTGTTGGAAAATTCTTACATATCAGCCTCATATACATCATATCATCCACTTAATCTTAATTCTGTACGTGGAAAAATGTAGAACATTTTTTCTTATGTTCTGCTTTACTGTGTGATAAAATGCTGTCCTTTTTACCATAAAAATTTGAAAAAGGAAATTAATGCGTTAGTTCGAAATTTGAACATTTTATTACAATAATGCGGTGATGTATAATTTGTGAGTGTACGTTTGTCACATGTCTATGAGACCAGTGATTTAAGACCCTCTCCCATCCTGGGCTAGATTACATTGGCTCACTCACCACTCTCTCTGAAGGTTGGGGTCAGTAGTTAGACCCTAGATACACGTTGACCCCTTTGACTCCTGAAACTCCCTGGTTGAACTCATGACTTCCGGGTCAGAAAGATCAGAGGGGGTCACTATTTAAAAAAAAAAAAAATACAAAAACGCGCTGCTGCCTAGATCTGAAATTTGAATCGTTCTTCTTTTTCTCTTCTAATCTTCTTTCTCAATCTCCCTGATCCGGTGATCTCCTCCACCGTAGTGGTTAATCCTATCATCTTCAATCTTCTCTCTCCCTCTCCTCCGTGTGCTAATTCTTCTATCCCCACCGTTGATTCGTCGCGCCGCCGCCTCTCCTCTGATGTTCTCTTTTGGGTAAAGGATCTCCTTTCACATGCTACGGTAGGTGCGTTCGAAGTACAAGGAGGGCCTGAGTTTGATGATATAAATTTTCATTAACTCCATTGAAATATGTGTTTTATACTTTAATAGTTCGATACTTTGATTAGCTTGTGTAAAATTGACTTGTGGATGTAATTAATTGAATTATGTTAAGTATATTTTGAATTTTTAATGATTGATGGTTTTATTTTAATTTTTTGATTTTTTCGTATAAGATATATATATATATATATATATATATATTTATATTTATATTTTTTTAATATGTAAAACCGGGTCAGCAAAGTAATCCCGTAATCCTTCAGTTGAACACATAATCCTATGACCCCTGACTTCCACTAAGTTGATGACCAGGTCGAATTTTTAAACATTGTATGAGACGGGAGAAGAGTGTGCGGTTCAAACGGTGCATGCATACAATGCATGATATGTGGCAAGTGTGAATTACTTCTCATAGATATCAATATTAATATTTCAATTTGTTAGTTAGTTGAAGTTGGTTTCGGTTTCTGTTAGTTAGTTGACCACGTGGCACCTTTGTAACTTACTTGGTTCCAAAACTATAAATAGAACCAAGCTTCTGTAATTTAACATCTTTTGATTCATTTTCTCAATGAAAAACATTCAGTTTGTTTTACTTTCTAAGATGTTATCAGAGCCATACATGGAGCTCTGATATTCGCCGTTTTGATTTCTACATAGCTTCACTTCTAGAAGTTCTTTTTACTCTTCTGATCTTCCTTCGATTTTCTTTTGAGAGATCACTTTTGTATTCATGGAAGGTGGTGAAATGGTGAATCAAAGCTCCAACCTAAGCGAAGAATCAGACGTTAATCCAGTTCAGGTGAAGAACGATGGTTCAGTTAAGGCTATCGTTCATGATATTCCAGATCCAGGAAGTCCCTACTATTTGCATCTAAGTGAGAATCCTGCACTTTGATTTCGAAAAACAAGTTTTCCTTTGTCAATGGAACAATTTTTGTTCTTGAAATCTCAGATCCAAGGTTTGCTACTTGGGAGAGATGTAATACCATAGTGATTTCATGGTTACATCGATTGATCACAGAGTCTATTTCACAATCTATTCTTTGGATGGATTGTGCTGTTGATGTGTGGAACAATTTGAAAGAACTTTTTTCATAGTCTGATGTTTTTAGAATTTCTGATCTACATGATGAAATTAACAAATTGCAACAAGGTGACAATTCGGTCAGTGATTACTACACGAAGTTAAAGATCTTGTGGGATGAACTTGAAGCCCTGCAACCTACACCTGCATGTAGATGTGTTCGACCATGCTGCTCAATTTTTTCACAGATAAGAGAAATTTGAGACAGAGATTATTCTATAAGATTTCTGAAAGGCCTCAATGAGCAATTTACTCATGTGAGGTCCCAAATCATGTTGATGGACCCATTACCAAATGTCAATCGTGTGTTCTCCTTAGTGACTCAACAAGAAAGACAGATGGTGCAACTGGAAGGTAATATGCCTAAACTTGAAACTTCCAAAGTTTTTTACAATTTTGCTGATCAAGCCTTTGAGAGAGGGCGTGGAATTACCCGTGGAAGAGGTCGTGGATTCTCAACGGGACGAGGAAGAACAGGAGGATCTAGATTGTGTACTTATTGTGGAAAAACAAGTCACACAGTTGATACTTATTTTGAAAAACATGGATATCCTCCTGGATATAGACAAAGGAATCCTACACATAAAGAAAATGTAGCCACTGTGACAGATCAAGATCAAAGAGCAGAGATACAATCCTCAATCAATCCTACTGATGAAGGGAAAGACAAATTCACTAAGTACCAGTATCAAACTATACTGGATATGATTCAGCAGCAAATGCAACGGCAGAACTCAACCACACACATGAGCAATGTGGTAAGGACTAAGGCCTACAACATGAACACTGAATCTTCTGAATCTCCAGGTGTTGCGAATCTAGCAAGTGTTCTAGTCGTACAAGTAATAAAATGATGAGTAAAGATCGTTCCCACGAGGATTTGTGTCAAGCACTAACTAACCATATGTACTTGAGTTGAATCAAACAAAAGTTCATAGATTGCATAGATTTCTTGTCACCAGAAACTACACTGAATTGAATTAAAACTTGATAAATAAATAAAATGTAAATTATAATGTAAACAAGTAGTCATATGTCATTTTCCCTCAAACATGAATTTATAGATGAACCAATTTCCATTATGAATTATCTACTATGTGATGTTGATCAACCTTTTTCTTATCATCTCAAGATGTAATCCCTTACTACCCTGATAGACACATTAATCAGAAACCCCAATCCCTTGGTGATTCCTTTCTTAATACATGCATTAATTACTAAGGTCTTAAGATCACATCAGAATCCTAGCATCAATCCCTTGACTACTAGCACACTGATGATGAAGTTGTCAAAAATAAAGAAACAATGTAAACATGTCTGTTCTACACTATTCCTCAACATGAAGAATTAATCAAGACAACTTCATACAATCATATAATAGATAAACAAAACATCTAATTAACCATTCATAAATTCAAACTTGAGTTCCATTGAATCAGACTACAAAGGACTCTCCTAAGACATAATTGAAATACAAACAAGAGAAGAAATATCAAACTCCATTGACATGATAGTTGAGTCTTCAATCTCCAACTGCAATTACATGAAAGTATACTAACTATTACAATACTAAGTCCTAAGAATTTGGGAAGTCAGAGAAAATGAGGAGTCAGATCAGATCTATGAAAGACCTGATCTGATCTCCCTTCTCCTAGTGTGATGGGAAAAGTCAGAATGAGATATGACAGGATTGGATTGTGTCTGGAATATGTCAGAATGTGAAGGCCCCTTGTCCTTTTATAATTTACAAATTACAACTGAAAACTGACATGGGCGCTAAAACTCTCATTTCTGGACGTTTTAGCGCTCAACCTTGACGGAAGCCCAACTGCTTTTAACTGTCTTGGGCGCTAAAACGCTCAGTTTTGGGCGTTTTAATGTTCAGCACCAGCATCTTTTGTGCAACAGGGCGCTAAAACGCTCAGTTTTGGGCGTTTTAGCGCCCAACACTTAGAATTTTCCCATTCTTCAGAATCTTCTTCCTTCTCTCTTTTGCTTCTTGAGCTTCATTTCCCTACAAAAACAATGTAAATTTTCAACATAAGCTTCAGAACTTGTATTTGAGAGATTTCCAGGACATTAACCTCTTTTCCATCCTTTTAATCACACAAATTGATATTAATTCATGCTTAAAAACCTGATGAACTAAGGGTTCATCACAATTCCCAGATTTGAACATTGATGTCCTCAGCAATGAATTGAAACAGAGAAGGACTTGAGATTCTTTACAGATGAAATTCATGAGGATGGACTTCAATTAACAAAAGATCAACATTTCATGATACAAAATTATAACCATGCAATCTCTTATTTCCTATGATTTTCCCAACATCATTTGTGACTTTTCAACAGATCAGTAAAGATGATATACAGAGACTTCCAAACAACAACACCCCCTCACTAGGAACTTCTCAAAAATTATGAGAATTTTAACACTCTTGCACACTAGTGTTTAAGGATGTACTTATCTCTCACTCTTCATTGCACTCAAACTGCCATAGGCTTGCCCATCTTCTCACTATCCACAGTAACAATGATCCATAAGGTAGATCAAAAAGGTTTTGGTATGATTAGCAATGAGACTTGGTGTGTGGCTTGACTAGAGGTAAGGATTTATGTGAAAAGGTAAGTTCAGATCAAATGAATTAGATTCAGATAAGAGGGAATTCACAGTAATTAATCAATTTCTTCCTAATTCCCTCAACTTTCTTCCTTTTCATTCCTTGTTCTTTTCTTTGAACCTTTATTCCTCTTTTTCTTCCTGACACTTTGTGTCTTTAACAAAAAAAATTCTTTTTCTTTCTTTTTCTTTCAGACACTTTGTGTCTTTAATACTTCCCTCTGTCTCTTCCAAACACTGTGTTTCACAACCTTTTCTTTCTTTTCCTTCTTTCTTTCTTATGTTTCCAACACCTTGCATTCACTTATTGCAAAAACACTTTCCTCCCCACAGAACACTCCATCCCTTATCACTTATCTGAAACTTTTAATCTAAAGGATTGGAATAAATGTGGTTCTTGGCTTGATAGACAACATGCTAGGCTCAAGTGTTTCATGCAATTGGAACTTAAAGGTTGGCCATTTGACTTTCTGGTTCAAGAAGGAAATGCCTCTACCCTACACATCATCAACCATTTCAAGCAAGAAACAGGGCAAGTTCTAAAGCTATTCATGTAGTGAAGTGCTCTCTGAACAAAATTTTTTGTATAGGCTCAATTTTGCTCACAGTTCAGAGTGCATGCTTGACTTTCTCTATATGCATCAAAATTAATCTTTCTACTCTTACACATTGAATGAGTCATGCAATCATTTCATTTAAGCTCAACATGCAAGGTATAAGATTGTATCCTTTAATTTGATCAATCATATAAAACTTTGATCAGTCAAATCCTCATTAAATTCCATATCAAAACTGAAATCCAAATTCAATATTACAGCTAAAATCTAAATCACACAGAAAAATTAGAAAAGAAAAAGATTGAGATATTTCCCTGTTTCGGCTCATCAATTTGTGTGACATCTCCTTGAAATTTGCATGCCATTCAATCACACCCAATTCCCAGATTTAAATGTTGTTGTCCCCAGCAACTAATTTGAATCTAAAAGCAGCAATTGATCACTGAAACACATTATACATAACCCAATAGCATCAGTACTATCGCAATGTGAATCAGTCAAAACAGTAATTATCTCAATGTACTAAACTGAATTACAAAACTAAACTAACAACAAAATAAAACTAAGAGAAAACTACCCAGAAACATGTAAATCATATGAGTGGACCAGCGCTAAAACATTGAAATCAAGCGTTTTAGCGCTGGTCTCTAGAGACATGTGCACATTGATGTGCGTCGCATCGCGCTAAAACGGTCACGTCTGAACGTTTTAGCGCTATGGACCAGAAAGAACAAAAATTCACACATAAATTTAAATTACTGAAAAATAAAAGATTCAATCTCAAATATTAATGGTGTCTGTCAATGTTGAAGAACAAATCCCCGGCAACGGCGCCAAAAACTTGTTGCGAATCTAGCAAGTGTACTAGTCGTACAAGTAATAAAATGATGAGTAAAGATCGTTCCCACGAGGATTTGTGTCAAGCACTGACTAACCATATGTACTTGAGTTGAATCAAACAAAAGTTCATAGATTGCATAGATTTCTTGTCACCAGAAACTACACTGAATTGAATTAAAACTTGATAAATAAATAAAATGTAAATTATAATGTAAACAAGTAGTCATATGTCATTTTCCCTCAAACATGAATTTATAGATGAACCAATTTCCATTATGAATTATCTACTATGTGATGTTGATCAACCTTTTTCTTATCATCTCAAGATGTAATCCCTTACTACCCTGATAGACACATTAATCAGAAACCCCAATCCCTTGGTGATTCCTTTCTTAATACATGCATTAATTACTAAGGTCTTAAGATCACATCAGAATCCTAGCATCAATACTTTGACTACTAGCACACTAATGATGAAGTTGTCAAAAATAGAGAAACAATGTAAACATGTCTGTTCTACACTATTCCTCAACATGAAGAATTAATCAAGACAACTTCATACAATCATATAATAGATAAACAAAACATCTAATTAACCATTCATAAATTCAAACTTGAGTTCCATTGAATCAGACTACAAAGGACTCTCCTAAGACATAATTGAAATACAAACAAGAGAAGAAATATCAAACTCCATTGACATGATAGTTGAGTCTTCAATCTCCAAGTGCAATTACATGAAAGTATACTAACTATTACAATACTAAGTCCTAAGAATTTGGGAAGTCAGAGAAAATGAGGAGTCAGATCAGATCTATGAAAGACCTGATCTGATCTCCCTTCTCCTAGTGTGATGGGAAAAGTCAGAATGAGATATGACAGGATTGGATTGTGTCTGGAATATGTCAGAATGTGAAGGCCCCTTGTCCTTTTATAATTTACAAATTACAACTGAAAACTGACATGGGCGCTAAAACTCTCATTTCTGGACGTTTTAGCGCTCAACCTTGACGGATTCCCAACTGCTTTTAACTGTCTTGGGCGCTAAAACGCTCAGTTTTGGGCGTTTTAATGTTCAGCACCAGCATCTTTTGTGCAACAGGGCGCTAAAACGCTCAGTTTTGGGCGTTTTAGCGCCCAACACTTAGAATTTTCCCATTCTTCAGAATCTTCTTCCTTCTCTCTTTTGCTTCTTGAGCTTCATTTCCCTACAAAAACAATGTAAATTTTCAACATAAGCTTCAGAACTTGTATTTGAGAGATTTCCAGGACATTAACCTATTTTCCATCCATTTAATCACACAAATTGATATTAATTCATGCTTAAAAACCTGATGAACTAAGGGTTCATCACCAGGTAACTCTATAATCCCATGGATTTTAGACACTGGAGCAACTGATCACATTACTTGTAGCTATGGAAGTTTATTTCATGTCAAGAAAATTGATCTTGTTCCAATTTCTTTGCCTAATGGAAGTATTGTACATTCATATTATTCTGGTACAACTATACTATTAGATTCTTTGAGCCTAAAAAATGTCCTATGCGTAGAAAGATTCACAGTAAATCTTATATCAGTTAACAAACTCATCTATGAAGTTAACTGTCATGTCTTGTTTCAGCATCGAATTTGCATCATTCAGCAGACACCATCAATGAAGATGATTGGTTCTGCTGAGTTGGAAAGAGGGTTGTACGTTCTCAAACAAAACTGTAAATGTGAAGATAATTCAAGCAACAATAGGAAGGATAACTTGAAGACAGAGAGAGAAACTGGTTTCTCTAAAACTAGTTATCTGGTAGAAAATTGTATTGATGATGTATGGCATTTGCGTTTAGTACATTGCTCAAAGGCTATAATAAGAGCCATGATGCTCCATTATCCTTTCATTAAGTGTAAGAACATTGATGGTCCTTGTGACACCTGCCATTTAGCAAGGCAAAAGAGATTAAATTTTCCTATTAGTCATACTGTATCAAGTTCAGCATTTGATCTTATGCATATTGATATATGAGGGCCATGTTTAGTGCCTTCGATACATGGCTATAGATATCTGTTGACTATAGTAGATGATAATACCCGTTTGGACTCACCAATGCGCCGACAGTGTTCATGGATTACATAAATAGGATTTTCCTGCCGTATCTGGATCAGTTTGTGATCGTCTTTATTGATGACATTCTGATTTACTCCAAGACTGAGGAGGAGCATGCAGAGCATCTGAGGATTGTTCTGCAAGTGCTGAAGGAGCAAAAGCTTTATGCTAAGCCTTCTAAGTGTGAGTTTTGGCTCAAATCAGTCAAGTTTCTCGGGCATGTGATTTCAGCGGATGGAGTTGCAGTGGATCCCAACAAGATTGAGGCCGTGCTGGATTGGGAGAGGCCAAAGACAGTTACGGAGGTGAGGAGCTTCTTAGGTTTGGCAGGTTACTATCAGAGGTTCATCAAGGGTTTCTCCATGATGGTTCTTCCTTTGACTCGCCTTACCCGAAAGGAGACTCCATTTGTGTGGACTCACGAGTGTGAGGCGTGCTTTCAGGAGTTGAAGGAGAGATTGACTACTTCACCTGTGCTGGTCCTTCCTGATCCTGAGGAGCAATTTGAGCTTTACTGTGATGCTTCTGGAAAGAGGCTGGGCTGTGTGTTGATGCAGTCTAGTAGAGCTGTTGCTTTTACTTCAAGGCAGTTGAAGCCTCATGAGGAGAACTACCCGACTCATGATTTGAAGTTGGCTGCGATTGTTTTTGCTTTCAAGATTTGGAGGCATTACCTGTTCTGTGTGCAGTTTGCGGTGTTCAGTGACCACAAAAGCTTGAAGTATCTGTTTGATCATAAGGAGCTGAACATGAGGCAGAGGAGATGGATGGAATTTCTGAAGGACTACGACTTTGAGTTGAAGTACCATCCTGGCAAGGCCAATGTGGTAGCTGATGCTTTGAGTTGGAAATCCTTAAGTCTATCCAGTTTGACTATGGGTGACTTCGACATCATAGAGAAGTTTTGAGACTTGAAGGTGACTTCCTTGTTTGGGGTGCACTTCTCAAGATGGAGACTGTGAGAGACAGGAATGAGCTTATGTAGAAGATCCACGAGACGCAAGTGCAGAGAGAGTGTCTCAACTACGTGAAGAACCAAGACGGTGTGTCTTGGAAAGAGGATGGACTTCTGTTGTTTCAGAAGCGTGTTGTGGTTCCTCTAGGTCCTTTGACCGAAGAGGTTATGGCGGAGGCCCATAAGGGACAGTTTACTGTTCACCCTGGTGCTACAAAGATGTACCAAGACCTGAAGAGGGATTTCTGGTGGCCAGGAATGAAGAATGACATAGCTGTGTATGTGTCCAAGTGTTTGATCTGCCAGAAGGTGAAGATTGAAAATCAGAAGCCGTCTGGTAGACTTCAACCTCTTGAGATTCCGGAATGGAAATGGGAGAGCATTTCCATGGACTTCGTTGTGGGTTTGCCGAAGACTTAGGTTGGCTGTGACTCGATATGGGTCATTGTGGACAGACTGACGAAGTCTGCCCATTTTCTTCCAGTGAAGGTGAGCTTCACTACTGAGCAGTTGGCCAAACTGTATGTTCGCGAGATCGTGAGGCTTCACGGGGTGCCCGAGAGTATCATCAGTGATAGGGACCCGAAGTTCACATCTCGGTTCTGGGAGGCGCTGCAGGGAGCTTTTCGTACTCAGTTGAGATTGAGTACAGTCTATCACCCTCAGACTGATGGACAGACTTAGCGGACTATCCAGACCTTGGAGGACATGTTGCGGGCTTGCACGTTGGAGCAGGGCTCGGCATGGGATAGGTACCTTCCGTTGGTGGAGTTTTCGTATAACAATAGTTTCCATGCTAGCCTAGGCATGGCACCTTACGAGGCATTGTACGGTAGAAGGTGTCGTACACCTACCTGCTGGTCTGAGGTTGGAGATAAAGAGTTGTTTGGATTGGACTTTGTTGTAGATACTACCCAGCAGATCCAGATGATTAGAGAAAAGCTGAAGCATGCGCAGAATCGCCAAAAGAGTTACTACGATGTCAAGCATCGTCCACTGGAGTTCAGTGAGGGTGAGCACGTGTTTGTGAGACTTTCACCTGTCACTGATGTTGGATGGGCACTAAGAGTGAGGAAGCTGAGCCCGCGGTTTATTGGGCCATACCAGATTCTTGGTAGAGTAGGACATGTTGCCGGCTTGCCTTGCCTCCGAACTTGGCCAACATCCATGACGTGTTTCACGTGTCTCAGCTTCGCAAGTATGTAGCGGATCCTTCGCACGTGGTGCAACCTGATGATGTGGAGGTTCAGGAGAACTTGAAAACTTCCGCCGGACCACTCAAGATTCTCGATCGTAGCGAGAAGCAGCTGAGGAGCAAGATCATTCCGATGGTCAAAATGCAATGGTTAGGAAGGACTCCTGAGGAGTGTACCTGGGAGCGAGAAGACGAGCTTCTCCGGCAGTATCCCGATATCCGAGACAAGTATATTCTGATTTTGAGGACAAAATCATAAAAAGGTGGGGTGAATGTAAGAACCCGCACCGTTAATTAAGGAAATTAATCAGTTAATTATGAGTTTAATGAGATAATTTCATAATTGACCCTAATAATTATTATGAGGCTCTAATAATTAAAGTAAGTGAGTAACAATGCTGAAAGTCGCTTTTCTGACGAAAAGTGCAGATACCGGTTCTGCTAGTCGGTATAAGTGCGTACCAAAAAAGTATCTCGAAAAATTATAATAAGTGCATGATAATTCCTAGAATAATATATAGGACTTGTAAAACGATTTTCAAGTTAAAATAATGAGAACTGGTGCCAGAAACTGATACTGGCTATGGAAAAGCGCGTACCGGAAAGGTACTCAGAAAAATAAAATAAAAATATGATAATTCTTGTAAAATTGAGTAGGTTAAGAATACTGAGTTTGGGATTAAAATACTAAGCGTAACAATTAAAGTTAATATTGTGTGTTTATTGGTTAAGTGACTATATAAGCTTAGTGGCACATGATCCTAGGTCATATTGGCTGCCTCCTACGTGAAAATTCTGAGTCTTTGAAGTCAGCCTTGCCACCTTCACCTTCCCTCACTCTCTTGAGCCAAAGGAGCCATTTTTACTCTTGATTTCTCTACCAAAACACCATTGCCTTATGTGGATTGGTCTTGTGAGGTGTGAGTGATATCATTTCTGAGTTTGGTGTCCCTGTTTTGTTGGGTTTGAGGGCTAAGTTTGAGAGTTGGGTTGTGGGAACCTTGGTGATGACATTTTGAGCTTCAAAGTGTCACATTTGTGAAGAAAAAACTCATCTTTGTTGGTCCATTTTCTTTCTCAACAAAGTCAGAGTACCTTGGAGTTGTCTTGTGAGCTCCAAGAGCACCTTTTGTTGGCTGGTTGAACCTTGGGTAAGTGTTACCACCTTTGATCTTGAGTTTATTGGGTTAAATTTGATGTCTTGGCATGTTTTATAAGTTAAACAAGTATGTAATCTGAGTATGAACCTAAATGTGCCTAAAAATGCATGCTTTGACGTTTTAAAGTGTTAAAAATAGTACCTTGGATGGATATCTTCGCGAATTCAGAAGCTGTTGTCTGTCGCGAAATATCTGGGTATGTGTATCCGGATATTGATATCCGGATATGGTATCTGGATATTGATATCCGGATATGAGGTCTTTGATATCCGAATATGGATAACCGGATATGGTATCCGGATATTGATATCTGGATATGTCCCCGACGAATATTCGGATATTCTGGAATTTTGAGGAACAATAGTTGTACTGTTCATACAGTAGGCTATTGGGGGTTTGTGGACCCTAGATTGATGAAGTTGAACTTCTATAATAATCGAACTAAGTCAGAATCAAGTGATTAAGGGCTTGTGGCTTTGTGTGAAGCCTTAAGACGTAAAACGTAAAGGAAAGGCGCAGTCTTAATACGGTATGCTTGTAGAGTATGATTGATGATATATTATTGGTCCATAACAGATTGTGATTCTGCTGTGTTTGGACTTTGAGGATTGGTTGGACTCTTGGGTTGGAGTGTTAGCTTGCAAGGTGAGCTTTCGTGTCCTCGGTTTAGCCATTGTGTAGTTCCACCATGCCCCATGGGGGAATGATTATATGCATGCTGTGTTATATGCTTTGATATATTTGGAATGCTGTTGAGCTTTATGTGTAATGGCTTTTAATATGCATGTGTTGTTCCACTTTGACGGTTAGCCTGAGTATGTGGCATCATACAAGACGGTGACACTGTGGGTGGGTGCAAGTGGCATCTTACATTAGTGTGGGTAATAGACGTATTCCTGCATTTCTATGGCCAGTAGAATAGTATTGACACACATGACATGATTATCTGCTGCATTGCACTATTTTAGAAAAGATATTGATGAACTGCTTTTGAACTTATATTGCACATGTAAGTGAGCTTAGGGTGGAAGATCCTTGAGGATCCCTTGTCTTACTGAGATTTCTTGTTTAGAGATCTCACCCCATGTTTGGGGCGCTTATTTCAGGTTCAGGTAATTTGGGGGCTGATGTCTCTGGCGGCATAAGGCCAGATCTTAGTTGATGATATTGCTGTTATTTATGCTGACATATTGGATGCTGGTTATATCTGCTGATTTGATGTATTAGCTTACTTTTATTATGTTGCTATTGTTGAGATGATGTGGGCTTTGTTGCCTTAATTGTGTGAGCATGGGGATTGTCCATGTCACTGATGTTAGTACTTATAGTTGGAGTTGTATAAACTGCTAGTTGGACCGGTCTACGTGTTGTAGTTCCGTGTCTAGAGACATACTTATATTATTTATGTTATGAGGTATTTCAGTTAGCTGTCTTTTGCAATCTACATACATGCCATATTTTATTAATCGATTCAATAAGCAAGATGGTAATGATAATGACATCATAATTGAAAAGAAAAAGATATTTCGCATTTTTAATTAAGCGCAGCTTAATATGATAGTATGATAACATTACCGGATATATACGGGGTGTTACATAAAACATCAGC